TATGCCAGCTCCTTCAGCACTCTTGGGTGGATCCCATCCGGTCCCATAGACTTGTGGATATCCAGGTGGCATAGCAGGTCAAAGACTGCTTCCTCCTGGATTATGGGGGGTTCATTCCACTCATTATCCCCATCTTCCAGCTTGGGAGGCTGGGTACCCTGGGGATAACTCATCGGGCCATTAAAGACCGAGGCAAAGAAGGCATTTTCCAAACATTATGTCAAAGAGGTGTTACCTGTCAGTTTGCTCATCCCCAAATTTCTGTGTAAGTTCACCAAGCAATGACCTGAGGAGGACCTGTCAGAAGGCTGCTTATTTTATGTATATATCAGATATAGTTGAAGAACTAATAAAAGCTCAACTTTAAAAGTCAGACCGAGTGTATACACTTAAACAATAGATAAAAGTTCAAGGTAAAAAATCAGGTCTGGTGACAAACTTAGAAAAGCTTATATAAAAATAAGTCAGTTTTCATAACTTTTATATCAGAAGTGTGCTAGGTGTCCAAAGTGGAATATCCTTGGTTTTGCGTTTTTCTGATTTGTGTAGGTTTTTTTTTTTTTTCAGAAGAAAAGGTATTTGGTATACAGCCTTCAGAAAAATGGCTCATCTGCAGGCAGTAGTGACTACTTTGGATTGTATTTTTATTCTGTTGATAGTGAATAGTAGTCTTCCTTTTTTGGGGTGGCCATTTTGAAGAGGCAGATTAATTGTAAGCATCATTTGAATGGCATGGTATTCTGTCTTTCTGCAGGTGATTAGAGAGGAGGTTACAGCATGGGTATTTGGAAATTGCCTACCTCTATGTATATGGTAGTGCCAACACTTTGGACACCTTTAGTGTCCAAATCTGAGAGGAGAGTTTGATGAAAAAAATTACGGATTTAAAGCATGGCAATCACGATTGCTGTTAATCAGCTCATTATGCTAGTGTGTATGCTATATATATGTTTATATATATGAAATATACATATGTGGTAGAGCACTAGTTATCTCATGATTTTATTTTATAACTTTCTGGTGGTGACTTGCAACTGAAAGCAGACATTTGAGCATCTTATAGAAAAGGCTGGAGGGGTGGAGGTGGGTAATAAATTATGTTTGACAAATCATTCTAGGCTCAAAAAGAAAGAGTTATAGTTGTGAAAATGTCAACCCTTTTTTCAAACGTGTATCTTTCCTATAAGGTGGTAAATCAGCAATAGTCTTCAAAAAACATTTCATTCAAAAATTCCTTTCTGATCAGATTGGACTAGCAGAGCTGCTACATTTGCTTAGTGAAAGCAGCTACCTAGAGAAGAACAGTGAGGAGGGTTGGTGATACTGAGGCAGGAGGAGACGTGAGAGGTGCTGCTATTGCTTTCCGTGGCAGTCCTTGGCTTGCCTGCAGTACAGCTGTGATTCCCAGTTCCCCAATATGTCTCTCATCTCAGGACACCATACAGAGCTATAATTTCTAGCCTGGCAGGCTGTGATTTTCCCATTCATTTGTCCAAGAGCCTGCTAAGTCAACTTGATATTTAGAATCACCCACTTTTCTCCTGTGCCATCGCCCTTTTTAGATCTCTACAAAACTTACTTAGGACCACTGAGAAAATTCATCATGTATGTTACGCAGTGACCTGTTTCTTTGTTAAAAAGAAATGGGTTTCATGTATCATCTTTGCCACAACACCCTTTGTTGGGTTGCTGTCGCTTTCAGAAGAAGTTCAGGAGGGCCTAGTTTGTACATCCCTGTGTGATTTGGAATGTGGCTAAAGACTTGTTTTCCTTACTGCCTTGCTGAACTTCTGCATAACATCTGTAGAAAAGACTTTTTATTTCACATTTTGTAATAGATTCTCTCTTTCTTCATCATGCTGAGCTGTAAATGAGTTGTGTGCTTTGTGAGGTGAAGTACTATTCCGCATGAGTAAGGACGGCAACCTGGCTGCAAAGCTAATCTGTTTTCCTTCGCACACATCCAAGCTTATAAACTCGTAAAAGCCACTTTGGAGTTCTCGGTATGCAGCAGTCTGGTGTATATGTGTCTAATATTTATTTTTACCTGGTTTATGTCAAGCATAGTTTCCTCTACGGTCAGTTGTGCTAAATGAAGTGGTATTGTTTTATTGCTTTGTGTCTGTGTTCTGGAGGTGCAAATATACAAGTAATCAATGCTCAGGGATAGACCAATTTTAACAGTCTGCATTCAAAATTCAGAGAATAATGCAAAATAAATTCAGTGTCTAACCAATTGGCTTTCTCCTTCAAGTGGCTTCCTTTTCTGCAGGGACATATGCACCCTTGCAGACAGCCAGCATGTGACTTCTTTGCCAATAATATTCTCTATAACCTCTATTTTCTGGACTTGGATAGACACAGATAAGCCTTTGCTCTGCTAGGAGTTGCATCAGAGTAGAGTCAAGGGTTAGTTCATGCTGGTCAGCCAAGTCACCTGGGAGTTTTTCTCTTCTTGAGTTGAGAAATACACTAGTATCCTTTGTGGAAAAGCCCTCCTCATGGAATATAATTTTTATTCTTGCAAGTAACCTGTATGAATGTTTGAGGAATGTTTGTTTCCTGAAATATCTTGCCAGTTGAAACCAGTATCTGTCACAGCTATTTAACAATACTCCACTCTTTTCATGCAAGGGATTTACAGCAGGGACAGTGACTTCGTGTATTTGATTACTGATGGCTGTACAATGCACTAGCAAAATGCTGTTTTTTCCAAACCCAACACACTGGGAAATTTGTTCAGGCTAGCTAGTAAGCAAACATACGCAGTTTTGATCATTAACTGAAGCATGAATTATTCATACAAATAGGGAAATAGAAGGCGAGGAAGGAGGGCAGTAGAGCTTGTTTGATTAAAGAACCGTGCTCTTTTTGCTACCATTTTGTCTGCTCGTCCATTGCCACTCCGAAAATTACACTTCTAATGAATTAACTGCTTGGATATGGCCTGAAATCCCCCTGAGCAATTATTTTAGCATCTGCCATGGCAGACTCAATTTGGCTAACAATTGCTATAGCTCTTTGTAGAATTAGTTCTGGTTCAACTAGTAATTACTCATAGGTATGTCTGGTATAGCCACTTTTGCTACAAGCAGGTCTCATTTTGCTGGGTATGGCCTCAGAATGGTGTATAATGTTGTGCTTGTGCAAAGTCATCATGTATCCGTCAATTTATTCACCCGTTTTCTGTGTCTGTTGTCAAACTGCAGATCCTTCTATATCTAAGCCATTTTAAATATGGGGGGAAAACCCACAGCTGAAGCTGAAATTGCACTATTTTGTCAGCTTCCAGGAGGAGAAAGCCTGTGAAATTCGCTCTGTCATTTGGTGCACAGGCTGGACGGGCAAGGTTTGTCTCTTAATCTTCCTGTTAATGGCTAACCTGTACACGTCAGATTAAGCTGCAGGAGGATGTGGGACCACAGAAGAGTACAGTCCTCTCTCCTCCTTGCTTTTGGAGAGCAGTGCTGTGTGTCTCTCTAGCTTTCCCTCCACTGGATAGGACTTTTTTTCTCCCAGACTGTTTCAAGTGCTGGTTCCCGCATTCAGTGAGGAAAAAGCTGGTGACTCAGTCAACCCAATACGTGCTGCAGTGTCCTAGCTTACACTCTCCTTACTCTGCAGTTAAGACTGATGTAGTGCACTGTGAACACAGCCATTCCCCT